GGTCAGCTTCCGCCTCCTTCGACAGTGTGCCGGATTCTGCAAGATGGCTTATGCAGCGCGTACCGTGGACCCCGTGGCGGCGGCTGCCCCCCTGGCCGCCTTCGACGCTTCGGTTCGGGATGCTTTCGCGGACCTCGCCGCCTTCCAGCCGACCGCGGACGAGTGGCAACAGGCCACGCTTAGCCTCCGGCGCGCAGGTCTGGGCCTGCGGAGCACGCAACGGCACTCGGCGGCCGCGTACTTCGCCTCCCGTGCTGCCACAAAGGACCTCTGTGCCCAGGTCGACAGCGGCTACAGCTGGGATGTCGAGGCCGCCGGCTCAGGCCTTCAGCGCGCGGTCGCCTCGCTCGAGGGCGCACTGCCGGCGCAGACCGCTCGCCGATTGTTGGACGACGCCGCAGCCGCGCGGAAGCCGCAGAAGGCGCTCTCCGACGCGCTGGACGAGGCGAGCCTGCGCGACCGACTGGCGCGCGCCAGCCCTGCAGTCCGGGCCGCCGTGCTTTCGGAGACCCTGCCCGGCTCCTCCGGCTTCTTGACGGCCATGCCCAGCAAGGCCATGAAGCTTAGCATGGAGCCCGCCGAATTCCGCACGGAGCTGCAATGCCGCCTGGCTGCGGAGATCTTCCAGGAGGAAGACTTCTGCCCGCTGTGCGATAGCGTTCTGGACGCGCACGGGTTCCACGCCTCGGTGTGCACCTGTGGCGGGGACAAGACCGCCGCCCACCACGCGGCCCGGGACCATGCCTACTTCTACGCTGCAGCCGCGGGCTGCCGGCCAGACCTGGAGCGCGGCAACCTCCTCCCACCCCGCCCGGACGAGGCCGCCGACCAGGGGTTGCGCCGGCCAGCGGACGTGTTCTTGCCTGCTTGGCGCGGCGGGTCCGCAGCAGCAGTGGACTTGGCGATCACGTCGCCCCACCGGCAGGCCGCCCTGCAGCTGGCGAGCGAAGTCGCCGGGTCGGCCGCGCAGCTCTACGAGGACTACAAGCGGTCCTTCCTGAACACGGAGGCCCTCTGCGCCCAGCAAGGGATCGCCTTCGTGCTGATGGTCGCCGAGCGCTCCGGTGGTTGGGGCGCCTCAGGTTTCCAGGTGCTCAAGCAGCTCGCACGCAAAGCTGAGGCCAGAGATGGCAAGGCGGCGAGCCTGCACGTGCAGGAGTACTTGGAAGGCCTCTGCGTCGCCATCCGGCGGGCCAACGCCCGGGTGGTTCTGAAGCGCGCCCCGGGCGCCGCCGCGGCCGCGCCCGGCGCCGCCGATGCGGCCAGGGCCATACTTCAGCCGTAGCTGAGCAAGACATCGGTTCCCTTTGCCCTGCTTTCGTTTCCTCCTCCTCCTCTTCCTCCTCCTCTTAAGTTTTAATTGCATTTGCGGTGCATCCCCGGCGCCCTCCGGAGGAGGGGACCGGCTCGGGTGTCCAGCGCGAGGTGGCTCCACTGTCGCCACCGCCCGCTGCGCTTCCGGGCCCCCCCCCGCCGCCCGCCCGCTGGCCTTGTGGGCCCCGCCTTCCTTGCCCTGCCTTGCCTCGTCTTGGGCTCTCGGCTCCTCTCCTCTTCTCTCGGCTCCTCTCCTCTTCCCCCTCCCTCTCCGTGCCTTCCCCTTCCCCTTGTGCCTCCTTGCCCTTGTGTGGTGTGCTCTCCCCTCCCCCTCTCTCTCTCTCTCTCCCCGTCTGGCTTCCCCTCCCTGTCTCCCCGTCCCTCCGTCCCTCCGTCTGTCGGCCCGGTCTGTCCCTTCCCGTCGCCCTCCCTCCCTCTCCCTCCCTTGCTCGCTCCTCGGCTCCTCGCTCCCCGGCCCGTTTCTGTTCCTTGCCTGGCCCGCTTTCCTTTGTCGGCCCGTCCCGTGGTCCGAATAAGAGTTGCCGCGGCCCGCACTGCCGCGCAGGCGAATAGCCGGCGCAGGTTGTTCCTCCCAAGGAAGCGTGATTCGTCGACTCCCTAAAAAAAGCGGGAAAATATGGGAGGTGGGGGGGGAAACGGAAACCCCAAAAACATGGGAAACTGTAGGGAATTCTGTTATTTGTGTGTATTTATTTGTATGTTCCAGGGCCACTTCAAATCTCTCTTTTTGCGATTCCTTCCCACGGCGCTATAGGAGGTCGGGGCCTTTTGGTCGAGTGGCCCGGCTCGCTGCCGGCCTCGGTATCGTTGAACGGATCCCCATCCCCATCTCCATCCCCTTCGAGACCCCCACCAAATTGCCCCCCCGGTTGGGGATGCGCCCTTCGAACCCAGAAGCATACGGCCTACATCCCCATCTAAGGGGGGCAGATCGGCTAGTGGGGCCCAGGCCACGCCGCTGGGGATGGGGATCGGTCAAACGACACTCGGAGGGCCCGGCTCGCTGCCGGCCCGTCCCTGCGCAGGCCGAGATCGAGGAGGCGGCCGACCGGGCGCAGCTGTCCCAGTTCATCCTGCAGCAGGAGCCTGCTGGCGAGTCGCGGGCCCTTCCCCGTTGCGGGTCCGGTCGACGCTGGGGTTCAGTCGGGCCTGTCCCTCCACAGGAGGAATATTCCAAAGATAATCCAAAGATAGTCTGGTGACGGTTTTGGGGCTAGTTTGCCGTACTTTTGGGGTATGTCTGGAGTATGTCCCATTTTTCGTCCAAAATCCCCCTGTAGGGGCGCAGGCCCGACCGAACCCCGCGGATCGGGTCGACGCTGGGGCATCGGACACCCCCGCGGGGCTCGGCTCCGCCGCAGACGTCCTGCGAGTGCGGAGCCCCGCAGGGCTCCTCCCGGGAGCCCTGCAGCGAGTGGCTTCCAGGGGCACAGTGGGGGCCCGTGCCAAGAAGCACCCTGCTTGCCTCCAGGGTGCCCGAGGAGGAGGAAGGAGGAGGAGGAGGAGAGGAGGAGAGAGGAGGAGGAGGAGGAGAGAGGAGGAGGAGGGGAGGAGGAGGAGGAGGAGGAGGGTGCCTTGGGTTTCGATGGTTCTGCCACGGCAGGCCCTGGGGTCCTGGGGTCTCTTGGGCTTCGATGGCCCTGGGGGTCTCGGGGCTGGGCTTCTTGTGGAAGGCTTCTTGTGGACTGGCCTCCACTGGTAGGGCTCGTGTGTGACTGCCCGATAGGGGACCACATGCGAACCCTACACCACCCCTGCCCCCCACGATTTCTGAGGGGGAGGGGTGGGGTTCACTTCGCTCGGGAGCTCCCGAGCGAAGTGAACCCCACCCTGCCCCTCAGAAATCGTGGGGGGCAGGGGTAGGGTTCGCATGTGGCCCCCTAGCCCGAGGAGAAGGGCTACGAGACGATCGTGGGGGAGCGAGGCCTCAAGTCCGAGGGGCTCTCGCCCTCCGCGCGCCGGTACCGCCGCCCCCGCTGCTGGGCTCGCGGCTTGGGCCTCCCTGAGATCCGGACGTCGCCTCTTTTACACACCGGGCGTCTCAGGCCCTCCTCCTCCTCCTCCTCCTCCTCTCCTCCTCTCCTCCTCCTCTTCCTCCTCCGCCCCCTCCCCTCCTCCTCTCCTCCTCCTCCCCTTCATCCTCCTCCTCCTCCTCCTCCTCTCCTCCTCCCCCTCCTCCTCCTCCTCCCCCTCCTCCTCCTCCTCCTCCTCAGACTCATCTCCTCCTCCTCCTCCTCCCTCCCCTCCTCCTCCTCCTCCTCCTCGCCCCTCCTCTTCCTCCTCCTTCTCCTCTTCCTCCTCCTCCTCCTCCTCTCCTTTTCCGCCTCGTCGCCCACCCTCGTATAGCCACTCTTTGCTCTGGAAGCCGCTGCGCTTCCTATCGCACGCTCGCCTCCCCAGTCCGTACCGCCCCCGTCTGGATCCGGACCCCATCGCCGCGCAGGGTGTGCGACTGGCCTCCCGATGGTCGCGCTCGTGCGCCCAGTCCTCGTCTTTGTCCTGTGCTCATCCCGGCGGCGCGCCCCGGGGGGAAGGCAGCAGGGGCGGCCCGAAAGACGGGGTGATTTTGGGGGAGGTCGCATTTTTTTTTTCCCCTGCGTCGGACCTTTAGGGTTGAGTCGGGCCTGTCCCTCTACAGGGGGAATATTCAAAAATAGCAGAAAAAATAGTATGGGGACGATTTTCTGACTACTGTGATGCATTTGGGAAGTATGTTGGAGGTGCTTCTAATTCTTCGTCCAATATCTCCCTGTAGGGGGACAGGCCCGACCTAGTCTTAGGCCTGGACCGACTACCCGGGCGGTCGCTGGGCGCTCCCGAGGCTGATTTTTGGGCCCTGCCAGGCCGCCTTCGGTGCCATCCCTGCGTCGTCGCGCGCTGGGCGCGCCCCCCCGTCTTGCCAGAGGTGGGAGGGGGGGCAGCGCGGGGAGGGAGAGAGGGGCACGGGGGAGAGGCAGGCGGCTCTGGGGGTGAAAAGGAAGGGTGGTGGTGGATGGGGGAGGAGAAGGAGGGGGGAAGAGGGCCCAGAGGGTGAAGGACGGGAGAGGGATGGGGGAAGGGGGGATGGGGGATGGGGGGGAGAAGGACGGGAGATGGCCCAGGAAGGGGGATAGGGGGAAGAGGGGCTCCCGGGGCCATCTTGGTTTTGTCTCAGGCCCTCGTTTTCTGGGTGCCTGTTTTCATGCTTGGAGCCCTTTCAGACTATCTCGGGCGATCTTGGGGGCATCTTGGAGCCGCAGAGGGCGACAGCATTAGGGCGATCTTGGAACATCTTAGGGCCATTCTCGGGGCCCATTCTGGATCTTGGGGCCTTCTTGGGCTATCTTGGGGCCCCCTGAGGGATAGCTTGGGGCTGTATTGGGCAATGTTGGCACCGTCTTGGGCCTCTGGGGAAGCCGTTTTAGGCCGCCCTGGGGAGCAAAGCAGGAGACAGGCAGTACAACATGAAACCACCTTTAGGTCTTTCATGATCTTTCGATACCCTGGGCTCCTGAAGGCAACGTCGGAGGCCACCTCGGGCCATCTTGAAGATCAGTGCGGGCGTCTCCGATGTCAATTCAGACGGTCCTGGGGCATCTTGAGGCAAACCAGGGGCCTCGGGAATCGCGTTCGAGACATCTTGCCTTAGTCTGTTCTGACAGGGCCGACGACCCGAGAGAGGGTCG